AGGCAGGAAATCCAAGGAGAGGTCAGGAAGAAAGGCAGAAGCTGAGAGACGCTGCGAGCCACCACCAGGAGACGCAAGATGAGAAAGTACCTGTAAGCCATGGCCATGTGGCAACTTAGAGATTAATAGAAATGGGTTAAGTTATAAGAGCTAGCTAGTGAGAATCCTGCCATAGGCCATGCAATTGGTAATTAATATTAAGCCTCTGGATGATTACTTTATAAGCGGCTGAAGGACCATGCAGCCAGGTGGTTAGAGAAACCTTCCAACTACAATAAAGACAGGAAGTTAGGAGGGAGAGGTTTGGGAAGAGTTTATGAGCATTTGAAGGGGAAGTAGGGGTGTAGATGATAGTTCATTATATACATTATAAAATTCTTAAGAAACTTCATATTCTCAAGTACCTTCCATTCATTAAAAATTAAACTATCTTCAAATGTGCATTCTTTCCATGTAAGATTAATAATATCCTACAATGAACAAGTCAATGATCACCATCCACTGTTTACATAGCATTGCCCGGTACAAAAGTAAAACTTTTTTATTCTAGGATATAGATGATTTGCAGGCTTTGAAGTTTTCTCTAAAATTTACCTTATAAGCATTTCCTTATTTATTTTCTAATTCAGTTGGGCCTTGAACATCATGAGTCTTGGGGGCACTGACCTGCCAGCACAGTAGAAAATCTTAGTACAGTTTTATTTTTCAATTATTTAAAATTTGTTCATGCAAAATTACCATTTGTTTGCTTTTTTGAAAAAAAAATCAAATTATAAAAATTTTTCTTACTAACTAAAAAGGAAGTTCTCAGCCAGGGATGATGGTACAAACCTATAATCCCAGCATTCAACAGGCTGAAGCAAGTTCTAGGATATCCAGGACTACCCATTGAGTTCAAACCAACCCTGAGCAACTTAGTAGGACCCGTCACAGATGATAGATAGATAGATAGATAGATAGATAGATAGATAGATAGATAGATAGATAGATAGATAGATAGATAATGATAGATAATGATAGATATAGACAGATAGACAGACAGACAGACAGACAGATAGATAGATAAAACAATACCCACAATAACAGGGCACAGTGGTACACACTACCTTTACACACTGGGGAGGTAGAGGTAGTAGGTATCATGGTCATCCTTAATTGCTTCTCAACCTTTTATATACGATCAAGTATAATATCAAGGACATCATGGTGACATAGCAAATTTAAGGACAGCTTGACTGAGATTCAAGATTCTATCTTAAAAAGAAAAGCAGTTCTTAAAAAACATCAACTGGCCCAGATATGAACTAATTTTTATCTTTTAAAGATGTTGATAATAAACCAGGATTAAAACAAAGAGAGATTTTAAAAAATCACCATTAGCCGGGCGGTGGTGGCGCACGCCTTTAATCCCAGCACTTGGGAGGCAGAGGCAGGCGGATCTCTGTGAGTTCGAGGCCAGCCTGGGCTACC